GAGTTGGCACCTACCTTACTTATCACAGGCAACTGTGATCTCATGTCAGCCCTGGACAGCCCTGAAAAGCTCTCCCTTCAAAGGCACATCAGCAGGTAAAATCACTTAGTGTCTGAGACAAGCTGGCCTTTCTCATCCCTTTGTCCCCAGTTGGGAAACCTGCCCTGCCTGACATAGTCCATGCATCCTGGATTAGCAAAATTCAATGGCTGCCCCACCTCCTAAGAACCAGGAGGACCAGAGCCCACACAGACTGCCTCCTGATGTGCCCACTCCCCACCTCTTCCATAAGTTGTTTGGCTCCAAAACAACAACTGGGAACATTAAATCAAGAGGTCTAATCACCGAGAGGTGGCACAACTGTCATCAAAACAGGGCTCAATTTCCCTCAAATGTCCAAAAAAAATAAGACCCAGAACACTTAGGTTCTGTCTTCTACTAAGCATCATGGGTAACACTCTGAGTTCTGCCCTGTAAGAAAAGGTCAGCTGCCAACTGTTCTTTGCATCTGACATTTCACCAAGACCAACAACACTGGGACCTTTGGAGGGGGAGCTGAAGCTGAAATTCAGAGCAATGACCAGTGTGGCTGGGGAAAGCCCTGCAATGGATGGACATGCTGAGGCTGTTTGAAGGGCCAAGCAGGATGGTAGGAAGACCACTCTATGCCCAGCCTGTGGGGAGCCAGAATAGGCATGAGTGACCTCCACTCAAATAACCCCATCCTTGTTTGGTTCTGTGATCGCACCGGACCCGGTGACATCATGGACAGGGGATTAACCCCATCCTTGTTTGGTTCTGGGATCGCACCAGACCCGGTGACATCATGGACAGGGGATTAACCCCATCCTTGTTGGACCTATGATCGCACCAGACACGGTGACATCATGGACAGGGGAAAATGGCAAACCCTGCAGGGATGGGAGCCCCACAGCCTTCTTTGGAAGTGGAAGGGAAACCTCACGCCCAGGAAACAGGCATGGAAGCTTGAGAACCACAAGATGAGAAAAGAGGCAGAAAGGAGTCAGGCTTCCCTCCAGACAGGGACTTACTAAGTACAACCAGAACCATGAGAGACCACTAACACCATTCAGGCCTCATTCTGTTACTGAACTCAGGCTCACACCCTGTGCCCCATCCAACAAGCCAGGTTTGGATGCCCGTTCTCAATAAGACAATTAAAAGCCAGATGAATATGAAAAGCACAAAAAGGAGACTTAATCATTATATCTACTGGGGGAAGCAGGACAAAGGGATCCAGTGACACACCATCTCCCCCATCAAGACCCTTCCTTTTTAGGGTACTGGCGTAAGGTTCAGGCAAAGTAGAGGCCAGAGTTCTATACAGCTAAGCAGTCTCAGCCAGGATTTGCTTCCTCCATCACGGTCCCCCTGTGGTCTCTGTTGCAGGGGGTCTGATGAGCCCGAAGCTGTGAAATCCCTCCCAGGACACACCCCACCTCTGGCAGGCACGAAGCTCCAGCCTTTCTGTTCCCAAATTGGGATTCCAGGGGACATTTCCCATTCCCCAAATGCCTTGTTTCAGTCTGCTTGTTAGTGGAGAAACCATTGTCTTTTTAAAATATCCTGATCTTGAGCAGGCCTGTTATACTTCACGGGGGGAAGAAAAAAAAAGGGATAGCACCCAATTATCTAGCTTTCCTGTTTAACAAACTCAGGAACAGCACTGTACTCAGGCAAGTTAAGTTAGTCCCTAGGTACATTCATCTGCACCCCTTGCTCATTGTTACATGGTTATATTACTAGATGTTACATGCCAATCATGTCTGAGATGGTCCTGTAGTTATATTACTAGATGTTACATGCCAATCATGTCTGAGATGGTCCTGTATCATGGATGCCTGACAGTCACTCTGTCCTGAGTATCACCTTTGTCAGGGCACTATTAGGACCCAACAAGGGAATCTCAGAGGACTGATTAACTCATCTTTATGGCCCTTTTCATCTGGTTATGGGTGACTACAAGACAGCAACATTGGGATATAAAAAAAGAGAGAGAGAAATGAGCCACCGAGCACAATAAACCTCAGGAAAGTCTAGATCAGAAGAATTCATAGTCTTCTCCTCCTCCTATGGTTAAGTACGAAAAACAAAGAACCACCAGGCCCCCAGGGCCATTACACTCTGTGTGATGTGCCTGCTTCTGCCATCCAAAGACCAGCTCTGACAGGCACAGAGACATGCCAACAAAAGCAAGGATAAACAGCAGCTGCTGATTTTGGAAAGAATACTGCATCACAACTGTCTTATCAGCACATCTAGATCATGTCCCTTCCTCTATGGTGACCTTTCTAGGAGACAGTGAATGCCTATAAAAATGGGGTGCACCTTTGGGGCAGACAGTCAGAGGCAGGAGCAGGAGGAGAAGCAGCTTCTGAAGACGTTGACCCTTCAGAGGAGAAAGGTAAGGACTGCCCAGAGGGATGCACTAATAATGGCAGGCCAGGTAGGAACAACTATGGGACAGGTCACTGTAGTTAGAGTTTTCCTGCCTGGCCCACAGTCAGGGCAAATCTCTCCCACCTGCCAGTCCCACAGCCGTCAGACCCGACCAAGTAAACACAGAGACCCGTATTGGTTTCAAACTGCATGGCCATGGCAGGCTTCTTGCTAACTGCTCTTTCAACTCTAATTAATCCATCTCCACAAATCTATACCTTGCCACATGGCTCGTGGCTCACCGGCATCCTCACATGCTGTTTCTCATCGTGGCGGCTGGCAGTGTCTCTCTGACTCAGCCTTCCACTTCCCAGCTTTATTCTCCTCCTTGTCCCGCCTACACTTCCTGCCTAGCCAATGGCCAATCAGTGTTTTATTTATTAACTAATTAGCAACACATTTGCCATACAAAACATTCCACAGCAGGTCACCTCTGGACAGATGACTAGGGCTTATTCACTGACAATCTAGAACTTTCCTCTACTGCTGAATTGCGGGATTATGGGACTGAAGTGGGCTGGTAGATGACAAGGGAAAATTAGGAGACTGTTTTCTGAACAACACAGGAAACTGATTGCTGGAACATTCAAAGAGGTCCATTAAGGCAGCAGAGCCATGAACTCATTAACAGGCACAAATGCCTGATTTTCCACAGAGAGAGGGTTTAGATGAATGCCATGCTCTTTGGATTTCCCAAAGGTAGGACAGCAAAGGCAGAAGTCTGGTGGAAATGTGCTGAGATCTGTTTTTCAAAAAGGCAGTTTATTCAAGGCAAGGGATTGTCACTGGCTTCTATTTACTGAAACCACTTACTGATGGTAACGGTAACAGAGGGCTTGCTTTTGCTAGTGAGTGTACATGGTGCCAACCTAAACCATCACACCCACCCTCCAAGAATCACCAACTTCTCAGACACAGGCTAGCTCAGCTCTGGGAACACAAACTTACTGTAGACTAGTGGAGGATGGAAAGAGGACAGGGCATGGCCAGATCCGAGGGATGGAAGAAGACAGACTATAGATGATGTTTTCAAATGAGATCAGTTAATTACCAGGATGGTACCAGTCATGGCTGGAGTAGTAATTTGCTGGACAGGTATGTCACAGGAGCCTCTTTGTGTCAGGCTGCAGTAGTGTTTCTGGATATTAAGGGTTATAGCTGGAGTCTTGATGAATGATCCTTATTATTAGGAACACATGTGCAGGGTATCCTCTGTCATAAACAAAATATTCATTTCGGGGTCACAATTTGAGAGAAGTGACCCCCATGGTGATTCTGACAGTGTTCTGAAAGGTGGGAGCAAAGACCCACACCCCCAATTTTACAAACCTGACAGGTGAAGGAGGACAAGAGGGAAGAAATGCCATAGTGCAACTCATATCTTAGGTGAAAATGCCATGGTCACACGCCTGAGGACCATTCTAAATGTTAGAAAGAGGACAGGGAAATCAGTCAGCTGGTAAAGGTACCTGCCACCAAGCCTGATGACCTCAGTTTGGTCCCTAGAACCCACACGACAGAAGGAGAGAACAAACTCCATCAATTTCTCCTCTGAATTGCATCCCCATGACATAGAACACTCACAAACACCAATGGAAAGCAATGAATAAATGTAATTCCAAGAATTAATGAAAGGCCAGGAATGGGAGTGTACAGCACTAATCCCAACACTGGAGGGACAGAGGCAACAATTTTCTGTGATTTCAAGGCCAGTCTGAACTAGAAAGCAAGCTTCAGGAAAGGAGAGGAAGACCCTGACTCAAAAATAAATAAGCAAATAAATCAAGGTAAATTTCAGAGACAAAACACTCAGAGAATAAGCATAAGCAAGGAATCTGAGAAAGTGAGATGGGAAATAATCTCCAGAAGTCACCAGCACACCTCAGATGCACCGTGAATGAGGTCCACCACCCAAGACAAGGGAAACCAGGATAAGAATGGGACCTAATGCCTAGCTTTGCTCACACAATTCTATAAGATGCCTCAGGAAATGTCAAATACTAACTACTCACTAAGAAGATACTTAGGGGAAGAGACCTGAGATTGTAGCTAAGGACTCAACTGGACATGTTCACAGACAGGAACTGGGACACTGCCAGGGCCCTAAGGACATTGTTCAGTGGTTCAGCAATGGTGTAACATGGGCAAGTCTTTTATACAATATCAGCACTGAAAAAAATAAAAGAAGGGTGAAATTTATATTTGGGATAATACCAAGGATATTATATCTTATGGCTGCACAAAATAGGAGAATATATATATATACCCATGGAGTCAGACCTCAGGACAGGGCTCACCTTCATTGACATGCTACAGCTGATCCTGACAGTACAATTACCCATGGCAGAAACAGGAAGAGGAAAGAGTTGCCCACAAGATGTTAACTAGCATGTATCAGAACATATTCCCACGAACAGAGGAGAAACTGGGGTGTCGATAATGTGAAAAACATGCTCTTCCCAGAGCCAGGGAGCCATCTACACAAAGTAACATGACAGCTCTAAGGCCCGTGGTGAACGTGATGAGTGACCCGTTTCTCTTCTGCAGGTTTCACCCACAACAATGTGGGCTCTCTGGGCCTTGGCCATCATGTTGAACATCCAAGCAGGAACACTTGACCTGGTGGAAACACCCCCAGCGGTGAACAATCTCCCTGTTGCTGTGCCCAATGTGAGCACTCTCCCTCTTGTCATGCCAAGCCCCCCACACCTCAAAGGTTCCTCCAACAGCCAAGGCTTGCCTCCCAGAAAGCATCCAGCTGCCCCCAAAGGAGGCAAGTGTGCACCTGCAGCCAGATACTTCCTCTCCAGCAGCCAACTCCACGACTGTAAGTAAGACTCACTATAGCTGTCATTTTGAGTCCTGTCCACACCTTCCATAGTCCGCTCATTTCTAGGTCAGAGAAGGTTCAGTCACCGTCTCAGCAAGTGAATTTCAAACATGATGACCCTGTGGCATCTGCTTGGTGCCTAGAGAGAGAAGGGAACTTGGGTCATGCCTAGAAATTCTGGCACAGCGAAGGCTGAATCCAGCTCATCCTAAATCTCTGGGAGATGGTGAAAATGAGTGTAAGGTAACTATTCTTAGTCCGGGACTGACTTATGCTACCCTGGACAAAGGAAATGTCTGACCCCAAAGCTGTCTCTCTATTTGCCTTCCAGTGGATTCTTACCACTTAGAGACTGTGCCATGTCACAGGGTTTCTCCTTTTTGGGCCCCAAGACTGCCTAGACTCCCACAATTGATGAACCCTCAGCCTAGTTTCCAGAACAAAAAGCAGCACATTCAGAATCGGCCTGCAAGCTCTTGACCACACGTGCTCTCTTGAAACACCCACTTCAGCCTCTCCCTGACATAAATTTTGGTCCAGGAGACGAGAAAGTCTTCTCCCTAAGATTCTCAAAGGCTGAGAATACAGGAACCTGGGTAGTTAAAAGCATGACCAAAACATGTTTCTGCTTGAGGAATCAGGGACTGGTTAGGTTTCATGGGTTAAAAACGAACAACAGGAAACACTTTGTAGTTCCCTAGAAGTTCTATGCAGCAACAATCCAGTAAAGCCCTGCATCACACAGAGCATGACAGGATGACGACGGAGGCCATAGGCCACTTACCTGTCATAGTGGCCAACTAACACCCCTCATGAATCCAAGATTCTAGACACAGAACTCTGGTCAAAGAAGGAGCAGCTAGGATGTAAGACATGCTTCTCTGGACTGCCTTCAACCTTAACTCTGCTAAGGTAGAAATGCTCCTTGGACCAATCAGCCATAGCTCTGTAATAGCCAAGGCTGACCACAAGCAACACTTCACTAACATTTTTTTTTCTAGGCAGTTCCTACTAGAGCCAGACAGACAGGCATGTGGAGATAGCATTATAGTGATCTGACTATTTTCCAGGCCACAGGATGACTCTCAGCCTGTTCTCTACTACCGTTGAATACCATCTCTCCTTTCCTACTTATACCAGATGGCAGGAAATACATGATAGGCCCCACCTGCCTACCAGTGCTTAAGTCTTGAACAACTGCAAAGGCTACCCAACATAGCATATCCAAGTAACAATCATCTGTAAAGACTAATGATGTGAAAATGAGTCAAAAGAGCAGAGGAGACTTGGGCAGAATGGCCTAGAAAGAAAGAATAACTGTGCTTGTCTATTCACTACCCTCCTATTTCTGCAGTCCCTCCACCTTACAGTAGATATCTGCAATCATAACCTTTATACTTCATCTGGAAGTCATGCACCACATCCAATTATAAGCCTCCAACAAACACAGAGAATGGGGATCAGAATACCAATGACGACCCTGAGGACTAGAGATGATACTGAGCACCAGACACCAGGACAAAAACAAAAATTAATCAAATAAAGCTGGGCAGATGGCTCATGCCCTAACAGGACCAGTCAAGAATGCACAACGTGTGTGTGTGTGTGTGTGTGTGTGTGTGTGTGTGTGTGTGTGTGTGTGTGTGTGTGCGTGTGTGTGTGTGTGTGTGTGTGTGTGTGTGTGTGTCTGTGTGTGTGTGTGTGTGTCTGTGTGTATGATTTTTGTCAATAGAAGGAAAGAAGGAAGCAAGACAAATGATGACAGGAAAAATGACACACACAAATGAGGTTCCTCCTCACTCCACACCTAGTATCTTGAAGCTAACAGTCTCATCACAAGTTAGCATCAGTGTAGGACCAGCAGCAGCTGGGGACAACAGGGAAGGGGATCTCTCAGACAGAATGTCATTCTTAACTAGGGCAGGGGAAGCACTAGAACTTGGAAGGCAGAATTCAGAGTTCCTATGTACCCCATATTTCAAGATGTCATCTTCCAAAAGGAGGGTGCTAGGGATGAACTGAACAGAAAACCCACAGCAGGACTGTCTCTTGATCTTTTTCAGATCTCATGAACACTCTGCCCCCACAGATCGAGGAACTTGTGAAGTGTAATGGCGTTGGCATGGGAGGCGTGCTTGGGACACTGATGGCCACACTGGACAACCTTGACCTGCTCTCACTCTTAGATCCCACCTCCCTCCTACAAGGGGCAGGCGGTCTTGGCCTAGATGGTCTCCTAGGCCAAAAAGGCAATGAGGAGGCCTCAAAGCCCTCTTCAGGGTCCAAGGCCACTGGAGGACTCAACAACCTCCTCCCAGGGGGCAAGGAAGGCCTGGGCAGCTTACTAAACCTCGGTGGAGACAAGGGCTCTGGCAAAGGACTCCTGAAGGGAGAGGGGCTCTCCGATATCAAGCAGACTCTGGGTGGCGCGGTTGAAGACGTAGAACATCTCAAAGAATCTGTTGAGGCCAAGGTGAAGGATATCCTCCCAGAAGACATCAAAAACTCACTTTCAGATCTGCTCAAGATAAACATCCAAGAGCTTGTGCTCGAGTAAGTGCTTCCTTGACAATTCTCTGGGTTTTTGGACAAACAAACTGCTCATTGGGAACACTTACACTCAGTCTACAGCAACCCCATGACAGCCACCCTTTCATAGAGAGACAGACTTACTCCCGCTGGAACTCTGCAAAATATGACCAGGATGTCTTGAGTTTAAACCACTGGGTGGAAAGGGAAGGAAGCTCACGGGTCACAGGACTAGCAGCATTTAGCTGGTGAGGAACTGGGTGCCTCACACGTACTTCTCAGGAGGGCCAGACTCTTTCTATGAAGCAGAACTGAGTCTCTGTCGTCACTCTGCAGTTTCAAGGTCGACGAGGTGAGAGAGGAGAGCATGGACATAACCATGGAAGCTGATGAGATCCAAGTCCACTCCACAGTCACTGCCACCATAGGCGGAAAAGGGTGAGCCTGTTTCCACCATGATTGCTGGGTCACTGGGGATTAGGATATATGCACCCTATCCTAGAGCCAGATAACAAGGACTCAGAGACAGAGAAAGGAGGATCAGCTATTTCAAGCAAGTCTGGCTTACACAGTGAGACCCTGACTCAGAAAAAAAAATTACACAGATAGATAGATACATACATATAAACATATATAAATCATAGGTACATACATAGTTTCATAGATAGAAACATACATAGATACATAGAAAAACAGACAGATAGATGACAGATGGACAGACAGACAGATGATAGATAACCTGCCTTGTCCAAAGCTTCTTATGTTAAGAAGCCAAGCATTTCTCCTGATAGACTTCTTTTACGTATTTCCACAAAAACTCAAAAAAAGGACTAAATGCTAGACTTGGAAGTGAACTTATGGCTGGTAGCTTGTGCCACCAACAACAGAGGACCTCCTCAAGGCTAGGTAAGATAGTTACTTGTCAAATAGTAACTACTACCACAAGAACCACCCTCTTCATTCTGTGGCATGGGACTGAGGCCCTAGGAGCATGTGGACTAGGAAACACAGTCCTCCCCTCTAGAGGACGACCTTCACCACAACATGAGCCTGATTCCCAAATGCCTAGCCCTCCGCTGGAGCCTCATGTCTCAGGCAGTATTTCATTCACATTCCTCTCCACAGCGTACTTGGACCTGTCATCACCCTACTGAAATTTGAATCTAACATGGATGTGACAATGAAAATTGATATTTCCTCCAACAACACGCAATGTGTCAACCTTGACGTCCAAGACACCCATATCGAGGTCAACGAAATGAAAATACACTTAATAGAGACGTACGTAACAGCTTCTATCCTTCTACTGAATCAATCCAAAAGTGTGTCAAAAGGCCCTGCTGCTGTCCCAGCCGAGAGCTGGTCCACCGTAGTCCTCTAGACAATCAGGAAATGCTAGGAGAGCTGACTATCAACATTTCTCTCTTTTCAAGAACAGTCTTCTCACATCTACCTTCTAGCTTTCCTACTGATTCTATTTAAGGGACTCATCCTATGTTTTCCCTAAAAAGAACCATGAGGCCACACGGTGAAAATCTCTCTGACACTTCTGTGGGCCAGCTGCCTACCTCTCTTCTCCTGGGCTAACCACAGATTCCAAGCCCTTCTGACTAGGTTAATAGTAGCCATTCTGACTAGGTTCACACTAGGAAGCTAGAAACGCTTCTCCCCCATTTATACCCAGCCTGGACATTCTTTCCCTCCCTCTGTGATGCCCTATGCAGGAGTCACTATAATTTCTCTAACTAGAGCTTAACAAGTTCTGAATTCAGATCCACAGCTACACCAAGACCACAGATAGGTCTATGGACAAATGTGTTCTGGTGTCTGAAGGATCCAGGGAGACCTCTGGGGCAGGTGTCCTGTGTTTGGCCAGGAACCTTTGCATCTTCCTTAAAGACTAAAGACCAAACCAGAGCTCAGGACTCACCCTCACACTGAGAACCGAAACATCATCCTGACTCCTTCATCACTGAGTCGGTCTGTCTAAGACATGCACAAATCTAGAAACATGACAATCACTCATTTCAACACATATGTCTTTCACAGAGTCACAGGAACTGTGCCTCTCCCCATGCCTCTGCCCTTGAAGGACATCATCCCAATAGTGCTGACAGCAGAAATGAATGAGAATGTAAGTCCAGGGAAGGGGTGGGGTTCCCTCAGAGACCTGAATCACTGGGGGACTAGGAAAGAATCTTGCAGCTTTGTAAATGGCCGACTGATGGGACAGATTTAGGAACAAGGGACCCCTGGAGCCCAAGGGCCAGTGTGGTCAGGAAACTCCTCTGAACATATGTCCAGCAGCAGAACTAGAGTTCCCGAGATTTGGGAAGAGTGGATAACTTCTGCCCATGAGAAGTCAGGGAACTAGCTCAGGAAAGGCGGAAGCCAAGGGGAGAAGGGGAGGACGTTGGCTGATAAGACAGACTACTGATGCTCCCTCAGCTAAGCTAACCTGTGGTGACTTCACAGCTGCAGAAATCCAACTCCTGTGCCATCGTCCTCAAGGACTTTAATGACTGCAAGAATGGTGAGTACTTCCTTGGTGTCCTTTGTCAGTAGAATCAAGTGGCCCAGGGACCTTGGGGAATTTCATAGGGGACATACCGCAGAGATTGGGCCTCTGAGATACCAAACTCCAAAACTACAAGGATTCTCACAACCTCCTCAGCACTCTTAGGAAGGAGGATGGTCCAGTTGACTTTCCCTCAAGTACTTGACTTCTGACACAGAAGAGAAGATGACACAGTGCTTCTGGGGGTCTGCAGAGAGCCTCACAACCCAAACAGCATTCAAAGGCAACACTGCAAAGAGTCTGAATGAGGAGCAGTCCCAGGCCCTCACCTCTGGGATCCTGAGATCAGGAAATCTCACAATATCCCTATAAACATACCAACAGTAAACGCAGGAGGACATCTAGGGTTGAGCCACCCAGAGGTGAAGTAGCAAACTGGGCTTATTTCTCAAGGCCCAGGATAGACAAAATGCATGGTCTACCTAGACAGTCTCTCCTTCTCCAAGGGGATTTTGACACATCAGATTTAAAAAAAAAAATTAAAAAAAAAAAAAACACCTCTAAATCCTTGTGGATAAACCCAAATCTCACAGCATCACTTGAGATGCGGAAGCCATTCACGCCAGCACCTTGTATCTGGCATCCAGACAGAAGCAGCTGTCCATACTGGTATATAGGGCAGACCAGTCTGAGGCACAACAGCCATCAATGGCTGCCTGGGCTCTCCCCATTCCTCCCTCCCTCTCCTCCACAGCTACCGGCTTATTCAAGTACCAGGTTCTAAGTACCAGGATTTCTTCCAAAGGACTTTCCATTTTCTACTGTGTAAGTACTCACTGTTATTGCAGTGACACCTGCTGAAGGCTGGAAGCACACCTTAGCCCAAACAGAGATCAGAGAGAGTCAGGACAGTGAGATGATCGGCTCAGTTCTCACACTCATCTTCCCTGGGGTCAGTCTCCTGAGTGCCCATCAGGACATGGCCAGCCAGTGCTCTTCTCCATTCAAATCCACAGACAAGGGCCTGTGAGGCACTCCCACAGAGAGGAACGTAACTTATCTCAGCTCTCCATTCGCAGTGGACTGTACACAACACAACAGATAGAGTCAGCTCCTTCCAACCACCCACTCACTACCCAAAGTCAGGGGGGCAAAACCAGGCTGGGACAAGCGATGAAGAGAGGGGACACAGTGAGCTCAATTCTCTTCTAGAAAGCCATCAAAAAAGCTGCACTCAGATGCTGAAGCATAAATCCATGCACATTCGGGATGCTGTTCCTCAGCAACCTACAACACACACCAAGGACATAAGCTGAGGCTCAGAACCTCCTACACACATCACATGTGGAAACGGAGCCATGCTTTCCAGAGAGTATGAATCGCTCTAAAGTCAAGTAAAAACTAAAGGAGCTGTGCACGGGACACGAGGAAACACCAGTGGTGTTAGGCATGTCTCCCTTCTCTATTCCTGTCTGAATCTTCCAGCATCCCTTCCAAAAGGAGTATAGCTCAGAAATATGAGGATAGAATGCATAAAAAAGAAAAATGAGACAGATAGACAGACAAGCAGATGGACAGAAAAAATATTCAAGAATTGCCTTAATATCTAAGAACTTATTCCTCCATATGATGGCTTATGAGACATAGGAGGGAGGGAAATAGGGAGGGAAAAGGAAGGACGGAGACACAGAGGGAGACTGGCCCTCAGTTCCGCACAACTGTGACAAGAGAGGAAGCAATATTAAACACACATCTTCATGAAGTCCGTCATAAATGACCGACTCACCTTCAGGGGAGGATTCATGGCCTCTGGGGAAAGCCTGGCTGCCCTGAGCCCTGCTACACTGCCCTGCACAGTGAAGCCAGGCCACGAGGCCTTCCCTCTCCTCCGAGTCTCCTGATCTTACATAGCTGTCTCGCTGCTTTCCCTCCTTAGGTTGAATTCAATTTGGGAAAAAAACCAGTGCCTGTGCCTGGAGGTCGGCTGCCTCCAGACCCCAAAAATGCCACCATTTCTGTAACTATGTCCACCTCGATGTTGAAGATACTTTTAATGTATGTAGCCAAGCAGAGCTCTGTCAAGGTGAGTGTCCTCCATCAGCCTCAGGTCTGCACTACTCTGGACATCAGCTGAGACTGTCACTTCTGAGGGAAAAGGTAGAGATATAAATGAGATATGAAGATTGTTTGATTTTATTTATTTTTAGTTTCTTGAGACAAGGTTTCCTTGTGTAACCCTAGCTGTCCTGCAACTACCTCTGTAGACTAGGCTGGCCTTGAACTTACAAAGATCTGTCTGCCTCTACCTCCCAAGTGCTAGGATTAAAGGCATGTACCCACTGCCCAGCAAGATCTGAAGGTTCCTGCAGAGATGGATAAGACCAATGCCACAGGACACACATCATCCTTAGTGATCAGGAAGGAGCCTTGATGCCATCAGTGGGGCTCAGAAGCAGGCAAGGGGGTGGGGAGGGTAAATATTATGAGTGTGTCACCCACATGCCAAACACACGGCCATGTGTCCTTAAATGATCAATGGCAAGTCATCCTCAAAACACAGCTCAATGTAAGAACTCTTCTTGATTTTACTGATGCCCTCAAAGAATCTGTGAGTGGCCAAGTCACAGTAGCAGCAAGGGCACCAGGCTTATCTACCCAGGAGGTACTTTAATATGACCCCCACTAAAGACGGAAGAAGTCTCCCCAGTGAGAGGAGCTCCCACACTCTAGGTACCATGATCAGGTGACTCAGCCTATAAGGAATCTTCACCACAGAGTCCATAAGTGTTCAGCAGAGAGCATCCAAGACACAAGAGCCGAGAAACACACTTCTACTTTGAAAGGCTGGATGGAAAGCAACATTTCACAAGGTCTCTGCCCCAACATCCATCCACTCAAGTGAACAGAGGCATGGGGTGAGGATGCACATGTCATTTCTTTTTCTCAGCTGCACCAGCACCCAGCTGGGTGACCAAGCCTACAGAAGCAAAGTCAGTATCTCAACCAAGACTGAAGGACACATGCCTGACTCATGGTACGGCACCTCCCATCCTCTTCCTCTCACTGACTGTAGTCTTCTTCACAACAGATGAATGACCTGGGTGCCAACATCACCAAAATAGCCTACGCCTTCCAGAAAGACAAACTCCTCGGAGTCACGTACGAGGTTGAAATAAGGAAGGACGGTGAGGACTTTGCCACGGGGAGAACGGTGAGTACGGAGAAATGAAGGTTCCCTGAGTTGGAAGAAGGGCAAGGACTTAGATGCATGAGATAAGCTGTCCCCAAAAGCCTGAGGCCCAATATGCCTTGGAGTCCCCATAACAAAGGAAAGGCCACGTCCCCATGTTTCACTCAAGCTCTCTTGTGTCATTTCAGAAATTAATCATCGCTCATAACAGCAAGATTTCAAAAACCAAACTGGTACCAGACATCAAAGTCAAGAGGTACTACAAGCTGTAACTGCACCATCCTCCCGAGGACGTAAAGACCCTGTGAAACACATACGCATGATGGGTTCTGGGAAAATATTTCAAGAATTACAGGAAATGGGGAATTTAGGTCTACATGCTCTTATTCACGTGTCCATTCTGCTCAGTATCTCCTAGTCTACCGCTGACTCATTCCAAATCAACTGAGATAAGACTTGAACTCTAAACACGAGTGGTACTGTTCTCGGGAAGCTAACATTTCTCTGTTCTTTGCTGCCGACAGGTCTGAGACCACAGTGGAGCCTCCTGAGGCTGTAAGTTGGTGTGCCTTTGTGTACTGACCCATGATAGGTGGGAAATCACGTCAATGCCAGACACTCTGACTCAGGAACGGGGGAAAGAGAGGCCCATGGGTAATAGAGCACACACCTACTGTGGAGCAGAACTCAGGCTCCTAACTGGCTCTCTGGAGAGCCCTTAAGCCATAGCTGCCCATGCTCACACTCACATCTGCATTGGGGGCTACAAGGAGCATACATACAAACACATACAAAGGAGACAGAATATACTGAAAGTCTGGGGCCACATGCTGGAGAGAGGTCCACAGAGGGACCCAGAGATGGGGTTAGGAAATGTGTCCCTTTAGCAGCCTGAGATATGAGGAGCCAGCGAAGCAGCAGACTCAGGGAACATTCAGGTTAGCAAACCTTCCATCTCTACTTAGCAGGGAAGAGACAGGATGGTCCTGGCTCTGGACTAAGTGAAAAACACTGTGTAGGATTGACCCCTGACCTCAAAGAGACACCCAAATACAGTAGTTTATGCCAAGGTCTGTCCCCAGATGTTAGAGAGCAGAGTTTAAGGAGTGTCCTCTCTGTGCACACAGTGGGGTATGGTTACAGTGGCACCCTAACTCAATTCACAGAAGCCTGACTTCCCACAGAGAAAGATGAGCAGTGAGAAGGGAAAGGAGGTATAGAAGCAACACCATATGCTCTCAGACGAGGGTCACAGGAGGAGAAGGGTGCACCATGACTGGAGCGACCCAGACCTACGTCCTCAGACCACATCACAGCAGGCAGCAGTGGCCACCAAGTGCAGGGCTCCCAACCTTTGACCTCCTAGTCACTCCTGAAGTTCCAAAGCCACCTGCTGGAACTGTAGCAAGGTGGCAGTAAACAGGACGATACCTCTGCTCATGGGGCCACAAGGGCAACAAACCCCAATAGGGACCCCAAAACTCCAAAAATGTGGGAGTCCTAAGGATACAGGAAGATCCATCTCTATATTTGACCTTGACATGTGACAGACCTGTCCAATAGAGAAAGCCTACAGAAACCTGCAGCCTCAGCTCATGCTGCTGGGCCTTGAGGACAATCGGAGGGCTGCAAGGCTCTACTGAAAATGTCTTCCCGTGTCTTGCAGAAGGAAGAGGTGGAAGTCATTATGGCTGAAGTCATGAAGAAGACCTGGTCTTCCTTCAATGGTATGTGGGATTAATGACGCTGACAGCTGGCACAGTGAGTGCCCCATGAGAGGTGCCGGGAATGACACATGGGGGACACTAAACCCAAGCACAAGGCCACCCTGTCACCTGCTGGGTTATACATCACCTTCTCTATCATAAATGACAGCATCATAATGGTAGAAAGGGAAAGCAGATCAAATTGCCTCCTCTGGAGCTCCCAGGAAGTCTTGTCTGCAGGTACCTGGGACCAAGACCACCAGGGTATACAGCTGGACAGTGGACCTGGGTCACCCACCCCTAAAGACATTAGAGTTGTGACCCTTGAAGGTGATATCAGAACCTCTTTGGACAGCAACCATGATGGTGCCACAGGCCAGGAATACACAGTCCTGGTTGCTTCTATTGTGGTTGTAAATAGTATCCTGATCTTCAAATGTTTGTGTCACCCCCAGTCAGGTCCTGTCGTGAGGCAGTGTATCATTTCTCATCAATGGTAGGAGACCGCCAGGTCCCCACCTGCTTTGGGGCCTTCCTTCCCCTACACCGTATCTTGCCTCCATCCGGCAGGCTGGGATGGACAGTCTTCATGACACCATATTGAATGTGTGTGGCAGTGACTCCTCCTAGGGCCACATACAGGTCAGAGATCCCAAGTGTGACTGTGGTCAGACAAGCCACCCAGGTTCTCATTTCCCTAACTGCTGTCACAAGACGGTACTTCCTTATTTCAGAACTGTTTAAACAAATGAATACGCCCGAAGGAGTGACTACATTTCCCCTAAAGGATGCCAATGTCAGACCGCTGAAATCGGTAAGAAACCGAAATACAACTCTTCCTTGCTTCTTTGTCTTCCTTCGCTTTGCCTCAAATACAGGACCTCGCATAGATTCCCAATCCTGCCTGTACTGACGACCAGTGTGAAATTAACCCAGAGAACACCAGCTTCTCTCATAGGACTCAAACCTGAGGCTGTGCCTGACCCCACACTTCCCTGCATCTGGGCCCACATCAGTCCCTAGAGGGTCCGAATGACAGAAAGGCAGCACTCGCTCAGGGTAGCTTTTCATGTTCTCATTCTTTCCCGCCCACCCTATCAGGGCCAGGGAACCTGCACAAGCCAGCCTTGATCAGGGCACCGATCAGATGGATGACATCTGATCTACAGGCACAGTGACAAGAATCACATCCCACAGCAGTTCTGGATAACAGTGGAAGTGTGGCTATTGACAGCCAGCACTGTGCAGGGGCAGCAGGTGGTTCACTCAGGATCCTGTGACCCCAGAGTCGGTGCCTCGCACCTGCTGTCTCTGGGTGGACCCCGACTGCATCCACACGGATCCCCTCCTGCCAGAGGCTTCCCCTTCAACTTCCTTCTCTCCTAATCTAAGCTCTCCAGGGTGCTCTCCAGGTGCTCTCTCCCCATCCCTGAAGCAGTGCTATGTGATCTGGTGGGGTGTGGGTTAGCGCTTACCATGCCTGCAGTCAACTTCTGAGGTTAAAGGCACTAATTACTGTCTTTCTCTCTCTGTAGAATCACCTTCAGGCAGCAAACTGAACCCAGCGCTACTGAAGCCAGGCAAAGTGCTGCGAGACAGTGAAACCCTCTGTGAATCTTTTCCATGCAACCTTGAAGCCCCATCCTTCTGATTAAGGAAACAATAGCAGTAGTCCCCTCAGCATGCTCAGGATCCTCTGCCTTGATTGACAAGGGAAAGAAGAACAGTTCAAGGTCATGGGCATTGTTGGAATAGCTCCTTAATAAACGGTCTCTGCACGCAAAAGTAAAAGATGACTCATGTCTCAACTCTGGTACACGTTCGTGAGCCTGCAAAGCACTTCTTATTTGGGGCTGAACAATAATATGAGACAACAAAATCCAGTGCTCTCCGGTGCCCTGGGGGACAATCGTGACAATGATTAAACCTTTCTCCCCTCACTTTCCTGCCTTACTTGGATCTGGAGTGCCTCTCAAAGGCTCAGGTGGTACAGCCTTGCTCCCCACCTGGTGCTATTGGGAGGTGGTACCTTTAAGAAGTGGTGCCTAGAAGTGGTTCTTCGGGTCACTGGGCTGTGCCATTCAAGCAGATGGGGAACCCTGTCTCTTTCTGTTCCTGCTCCTACTTCCGAGCCGTCTCGGAAACACTTTGCTTCTCATAACCGTGTACTGCTAACCACAGACCTAAAGACCAGGAGAGAAATTAGGACACAGCCTGGTCCTCTAACACTGAGCTTACATTAACCTCTTCCCCACTTAAGATGCTCACCTGGTTACACTGATGGAAAGCTAGCACACTCTCCAACTCTAAATGCTTCTTTCTTATTAATTGAAACCAAACAGAGCCTGGAACCCAAATCCTCCATGTTGAAAATGGAGGAGCACAGTTTAAACACAAACTGTGAGATGTATCAGAGCAGGTAGACTCCTGATACCACTACAAATCATGCATAAAAGGCTTTGTGTGTCTTGGGTCATAACTATAGTCCTAGCCATGTGGCCCTAAATGAAAAGCCAAGCCTGTAGTGACCTGCAGGATATTCCAATTACTGAAATGCCTTATAGCAGGAGGGGTAGGGGGGTGGCTAGATGACAGAATCTTATCCCAGGGCTGTGGAGACAGTCAGTTGGAGCACTAGGAATTTCTGAGTGGCCAGCCTAGTGTACTTACTGTGTTTCAGGCCAATGAGAGACTTTCTCAAAAGAAAAAATTAAATGCATGATCTGTACCTCAGGAATCATACTCAAGGTTCTCCTCAAACCTAAACACATATGTACACAGTTGCTAAGCACCTCATACACACATGCACCTGTACGTATATGAACATTCAAACATATATGCACATAAACAAACAGAAAAGGAAAGAAAGCAAGTCAATAAAGGTAGACTAGAAAAATGCCAAAGCACACTCAGAAACATGCACAAGATGGTCACTTGTAATCTAACTGTCCTGTCTATACTAGGCATACCTTTCTACCCTCTGCTCAGTGCCTGGGTACCAGGTCTACTACGAGACCAGATAAAGTAAGTAGAGCTTGGGATTACTTTCTACTAAGGGGTTGAACCCCAGAAAACTGAGGCTTGGTTACCTGATTGACCTCAGATCTTTGTCCACATCTGAAGTCTTGATTTCTCCACAGGCCAGTGCCTTTTCTAGCCAATCCTACTGAGGCAATGAGTTTCATAACCCACCTTCTTTTACTCCAAGATTCCCAGAAATCATTCCCCTTGATGTTTGCTGAGTTTTCCTGCTTGTTTTCTTGTAACATATTTACTCTATCCTCCTGTGTCTTAGTTACGGTTATCATTGTTGGAATGAGACACCACAGCCAAAAGCAACTTGGAGGAGGGTATTTCATTTACACTTTCAGGTAACACTCCCATCATTGAGGGAAATCAGGGCAGGAACTCAAACAGGGTGGTTACCTGGAGTCAGGTTGTGTCAAGTTGACATAAAATTGATCAGCACACCCTGGCTGGCCTCAAGTTGATGATCTTCCTGCATCAGCATCCCAAGTGCTGGAATCACAGGAATGTGCCACCATGCCCAACCTGAAACCATCCCTAATTCCTCCCTTCCTCTCAGCAACACAAGCCCTCCCTGCTGCTTCCACCTCCAGGGCATCCACCATCTGTGTTCCCTTTGCTATCCTAGCTGTCAGAGACCTGTTTCAGTGGGGGGTTCAGGTCCCAAAGAGGATGTGTAGAGTCGATGGGGAGAGAAAGGAGGTGGACACGATCCGAGGATGAACTGGGATGGCTGCCAGCAGCCTTTAACTGAAACAAAGACTACACCTTTTATACTGTATAGCTGTACTTGGGATCAAATGGGGGACAAGGGGCATGTGAGCTGGGGTGTGGCTGAGGCCAGGGATTGAGGACTCTAGCATTGACCTGACAGTAAGCACCAGTCACATCTTAATGGAAGGGCCATAATTTCCTCTTGCCAGAGATAAAAGTGACTGCTTATGAAAGAGATATCTCGATAGAGGGAGACAATATGGGGTTAGGAAGAAACCTGGTGCTAGAGAAATTCCTAGGAATCCACAAGGATGGCCCCAGTTTAGACTACTAGCAATATAGTGGAGAGGGTACCTGAACTCACCTACCCTGGTAATCAGATTGGTGAATACCCTAAATGTCATCACAGAGCTTTTACCCGGTAACTGATGGAAGCAGATGCAGAGATCCACAACCAACCACCAGGCCGAGCTCCGGGAGTCCAGTCGAAGAGAAGGAAGAGGAATTATATGAGCAAGAGGGGTCAAACTTGATGGGGAAATCTACAGACAACTGAACCAAGCTCGTATTCCCAAACTTTAGATGACAGCTGTGAAACCTACACAAGACCAGACTAGGCCCTCTGCATATGGGAGACAGTTGTGTAGCATGGTCTGTTTGAGGGGCCCCTGGCAGTGGGATTAGGATCTATCCCTGGTGCATGAGCTGGTTTTCTGGAGCCTACTACCTGTGGTGGGATGCCTTGCTCAGCCTTGATGCAGTGGGGAGGGGCTTGGTCCTGCCTCAACTGAATGTACCAGGGTTTGCTGACTCCCCATGGGAGCCCTTACCCTTTTGGAGAACGGAATGGAGTGTGGGTTGGGGGGGATAGGGGGGAGTAGAAGGAGAGATGGGAGGGGGGGTCTGTGGTTGATATGTAGAATGAGTGGAAAATTATCTTTTTTTTTTTTTTTTTTTTTTTTTTTTGGGCTTGTAGAGAGCTGGATGATATTTTAATACGTAATATGCTACACATCACAATATTGGGCATTTTATAAGCATTTAAAATATTCTAACATAGATACTATTATCCATTTTATTCTATTTATTCACTTTGGGATCAAGTTGCATGTAGCCCCATCTGGCCTTGAACTCACTATGTAACAAGGATGACATTAAACTCCCCATCCTGCATCTCAGGTGCTGGAATCTCAGACATGTGTCCCCATACTCACCTTCAGGGTTGAGAAATTTGAGGGGGGAGGATTCAGCTTTGAATTTAGGTCACTTTATTACATTATTTTCAGTGTTGAGAAAACTACAAAATTTAAGTCATTGGTGAAATAAAATGTGTAGAAAGATGTATGATTCTTAACTAAAATCAGTGGGATTTCATTGCTTTGTGCAAAGCTCTTTCAGTGGGATTTCATTGCTTTGTAGAAATCCTGAATCATGACATGACACTAGTGGAATTCAGGTGTTTCTGGTACATGGACTGCTCTCACCCAATGTGAGGTTGAACTGTCGACCTTGTGTACATCCTACTTCACAAATGAGTCTGTCAGATATGCTAAGCCTATAGGCTGAAGATGATGCCCCAACACTGTGGAGAAACCTCAGGTGACTGTCCAGGCAGCTGGCTGTTTCTGTCAACTCACATTTTTTTTGGAAGTTGCTTGCATGCACTTTCTGTTTTTATTTTTGTTAGCTAATATTATTTCCTTCTTGGGTCTCTGAGGGAGTTGAAGATTAGTTAGTTATAGTTGAAGGTTAGTTAGTTATAGTTGAAGATTAATTAGGATAGAAAGTGAATTAGATACATTTTGGACTTAACAAAATAGGATAGATAATGAAATTATTTTCTCTGAATTTGTCAAATACAAATGGACTAGACATTGTTTAGACATTTATTACTTGTATATATTGTATATAGTCATTGTACTTTTGTATATAGTTTTTCTTTTGTTAGTTATAACCTTTTTCTTTTTTTTCCTTTTTATTAAAATAGAAAAGGGGAAAAAAAATAAAGCTACTATCTCATAACTTCAAAAAAAAAAAAAAAAAAAACCAAAAAAAAGCAGAAAGAATTTCCCAATCACTGCTAGAATTTTCTTTCCCAATCTTTCCCTAGAAAGAAGCCTGAGAACAAGGAAGAAAGGTAACAGTGAAGGAAAATTATCTTAAACAAAAAAGAAAAAAAGAGAAAGAAAGGGAGGGAGGAAGAGAGAGAGAGAGAGAGAGAGAGAGAGAGAGAGAGAGAGAGAGAGAGAGAGAAGAAAGAAAGAAAGAAAGAAAGAAAGAAAGAAAGAAAGAAAGAAAGAAAGAAAGAAAGAAAGAAAGACTTTATCAAGCAGGAATTTTCCTCCAGCTCTCAAGGGAATGGAGACCTTTATCCAAATGCCTGACCTATGGAAAGGACTTCTGGGGAGCAGACACTATACTATAGTTTCTTAGTCTTATTTTATGAGCCTGTTCCCCTCATAACACTCCTAAAAGGGAAGGTTCTGAGGTCTTACTCTTTTCCATTATACCATAGCATTCTGATTTCTCTACATTTACTAACTGAGCTCTTGCCCTTAATGGTCTCAGGCACAGGATCTGAATTGTAGGTATTTCATTCTTAGGATCAGGTGTGTCTAGTAAATCTCTGATTTTCCTGTTCTTGGTGTAATTAGGAGGGCACAATGGAATTCCTGGTTCTGTGGTGGCAGGGATTTTTTTTTCCAAAGAATTATTTGATTTAGAGAGTCTACCACCATACACATTTTTATCCTTTACCAAAGCCCACACAAAATTTCCCAAAGGGAAAGG